GGCTAATGCCCACAGAACTTCGCTCCCCCCTACATACGTCATTCGGATGAAGTACACAGAAAGGAATTACATCCACTTTTCAACTAGTTTTAAGAGGGAGAGCTTTGCATCGCCACAGGTCAGTTTTTTGTTTCTTTTGTTACAACTTTTTCTTGGTCTTAGCAAGACCCACTTAGTTTGTTATCATCTTAATTTTCTTTTATTTTAATTACAGTTTTTCATTACAGATTTCTAAAATATATAAAAAAATTAAATTGTTAATCTTTAAGCTTGCAGGCCCAGCCGTATGTTTTTTGTATATTTAGGACTAATAGCTGACCGCTATTTTTTTTTCATTTTGATTTTATTTTTGATTTTAATTTGATTTTAGTCTAGATTTAAGATGTTTAGGTATAGTTTAACATATTTTAACACCTTAATGTGTCATTTGTGCGGACGCGTCGGGAAAATTGGAACAGAGAATTGAGCTCCACAAGGATTTATTCCAAAAAAAATTTCCAAGACACATTTGTCTAAATTAAAAAAATTTTTGCATTAGCGAAAAAGTTTCAATTGTCTGTTTCGGCGAAACGCGTGTAATGGGGTTAGCTTGATTCGACGTTCAAATAATTAAATTTCCCTTGAAAAGCCAGTTTGTAAGTCGAGTTGGGCTAATTTACCATTTTCCGCTTACTTTTTTTTTATCTGATTCTGTTTTTTTAATGTTTTACATGTATAATGGTTTGATTTTCATATGTATTAATTTTTTAAAACGTGTTGAACTTTTTGGAGCAGCAGCTCTTGGTAACTTTTAGGTGAGCTTACTACATTTTTTATATTTAAGATTATAAAGTGTACCTCGTTTCATTATGAATGAAGCACCTTTCAAATATCCTAGAGAAGTTCTTTGTGCTTTATGCTGATCTATGAATATAGTTTGACCATCTGAAATGCATCCTTTGCTGATATTCTGTCAAAACATATAGAATCCTAAAAGGGGCATTAATTACATGCTATGAGGTGAGAGGTTTCATCAACATCCTCTCTTTGCTGGAAAGAGGGAATTTATATGACTGAGGAAGGGAAAATCCCCATGTCATCGAGTGATGCTGCTATCAGTTGTCTTTTATGCCTTTTTTTTTTCTTTTTTCTCTTCTTTTTTTTTTTTTTTTTTTTTTTTCTCAAAACTAAACACTAAGATTCACTTTGGTATGCAGCCTGGAAACCAAGAAAGTTGAATTTTTTTTCATAATTTATGAATTTTACATGAACAATGCATATTTCATCACTTACTTTTAAAGATAAGGTCACTAAACTTCATGGAATTGTATTCTTTAGTGGAAATATTTTTTTTTGTAGCATAAGAAAAGGAAATTGGTCAATAGGTTTCCTCCCCATTTATGTAGGATTTCCTTTGATCATAGTAGATTTTAACGTGACGTTTGCCAATATTGTTGTCTTATGGTAAGCATTAATGATAGATTGTTTTTATCATTAAAATGAGTTCAGTTGTTAAAAATAAGGTGTTTCACAATGGTGCTAAGAAATTGCTGCATAAAATCATTAAATTTTTTTATATGGAAGCTGAGAATAGAGAACTTAGCCCATCTCACAGCCCTCCAAAAAAGCCAGCAACATTGCAGGAGTGTTACTGGCGACAATAAAAAAAATTCATTTAGAGGCAGAAAGGGAGGAAAAACCAGGTTTTAATTTCTCCCATATCCCCCAAAAAGCCCCAAAGGAAGTCTTAGGTAGGATTTGTTTAGATGATTTTTGAATAGATTTTGAGTGCAACACCATTTGAAGAACTGTTCATGAATTTTATATTAAGGAAGAAATTACCATCGCTTTCAAAATTACGCCCTGTTGCAAGAAAATGTAGATTTTAAATGGAAACAGGAAAATATAAAGAAAGAAATTTAGAACCAATTTTTAAGAATAAAAATTGAAATTCAAATTAACTTGATAAAATCCTGTTTAGACTAGTAAAATCTTTTTAATTGGATTTGCATGGATAAAAAGTCAAAACAAGAGAAAAGTGTTAATTGAAAGAAGTGACACTGTGCTAAGAAGAACATAGTATCTCAAGTGAAGCAATTTCATCATGAAAAAGACCACTCATTTACTTGGACCAAGTCTGGGTGGACAGCAAGATGACATTCTCAAAATGCTGGCAATCGGAAACAGTTTTTGGTATCATGCAGAGCAGCAATGTATCTAAAAATCTTATTGTTTTATGTGCTGGAAATAATGTGGAATTTTTATTTCATACGTCTCTTGTATACAAAGCAAAGGTCATGTTGGAAGACTATCATGAGCAAATGAATTCTTCTGCTTTTGAAAAATTGACTTCTGAAAAACTCATTCTAAATCTTTCAACAAATATTGTAGTGATTGTAGACAGTGCCTCCTACCACACTGTTCAATTAAATATATGTCTAACTATGGCACGTTGAAAAGAAGCAAATTTGCAGTGATTACTTAAGAAAAATGTACAGTTCTCTCCAAATTTGTGGAAAGTAGAGTCGATGGAGGTTTTGAAACAAAATGCCACTAAAAGAAAGTCATATAAATTTTATTAAGAATATACATAAAAAATTCATATAAATTTGAAGATGATTTTACAGCTGTATGTCTACCCCCCGTACCATGGTAACATTAATGCTGTTTAATTTATTTGAGGTGAAATAAAGCAGTCTGTACAGAACTGCAACACAGCTGAAGACATGACAAGGATAAGTTATGAAAAATCATAGAAGAAGCTTTTGAAAGTGTAATGACAGAATACTGGAAAAAGTACTGCACCCAGGTAGAAAATGACTGCTGAAAAAAAGATGGCTTAATGCAGGACTTATGCGAGTCTTTAATTATTTTTTCTGAAGAAGATGGCAACTTGAATATGTATAGTGACTGTGATGCAGAATAATAGTAAGTACACATGAGTGTAATTATTTCTTCTGAAGAGGATGGTAACTTGAATATGTATAGTGATTATGATGCAGAATAATGGAACAGTAAGTATAGAAGTAAGAAATTTCGTTTTTTACTCCAGAGTATGTATGACACTGCATATAGCTTTTAACGCAAAAATCTAAGAGTTATGATAGTTGCTTATAATAACTACTTAAATAACTATAATTATTTATCACTGTAACGATTATTATAATTAATTACTAATACATTCTTTCAGTGTGTAATAAATACATATAAATGTTAGCTCAAAAATAAAAAGGAATAATTTTCAATTATAATATAAAGCTTATAGTTATTTATTGTTGTATAATTATTATAATTAATTATAGTAATAATTAAATTATTAGAATTTCACTAATAATAATATAAAAATATACAATAAAATATAATAATGAATAATTACAGTTTCTAAGATAGTAAATTACTTATTACATTTTATTATAAATAATGTATATATTACGGTGAAACACACCGAAATCCGGAGAATTCGACTTTCACTAGTAATGTCAACAATCACCTAGCGCTTGGTGTATGTTCCGAAATATTTTCCAAATACTCTTTTCTGACTTACCCTGTAAATGTCGACTTCACCATGTACTAATGGTGAATGTTCAACTATAAGAATATTATTTTTTCTCTCCGTAATTCATCGCGAAAAAACGCACTTAAGAGTTAAAATAAGAATATAAGAACTTAAACCCATGGTACATTCAAAATGAAAGGAAAATAATAGAAGTTAAAAACTTACTTATTATACCGTACGTTCTAATGAGAAAATAAAAAATAGTAATAAAAAACTTACTAATTATGTGATTAAAATCTTATTTATTGCAAAAATTAAACTATATGTACTTTATGACCTCTCTTTTGGACCTACACCAGAACGTATCTGTGACAGTCGACATACACCGGTGAGAATCCGAATGTAATGCAATATTCGATCTTTCACTGACGTATTTGGTGAATGTGGACATTCTTCGGTGAAAGTCGACATTCTCCAATTTCGGTCTTTCACGGTAACATATATATAGGAAAACTAATTTGGAAACCATTGTATTTTTATGAATATATAAATAAATAAATGCACAAAATTAAACTTTGTGTAAGTCAATTTAGGTTACTTAAAAGTAATTTTATGTCTTCTTGTGTCTGTGCTGTTTGAATGCCATAGAAATAAACAGGGAAAAAACAAGAATGGAAAAGTCACTAAGACATGTTTCATGTCCATCTACCCTATATTTTGAATAAATTGGTTCGAAATACGCAAGCGTGTTTGCGTTCATGATCGCAGCTAAGGCGGTTGAGCTTAGTAATAGCACCACCTGAAATTTACAGAAATTGAAAATACAAGTCTTTAAGAACCTGGGAAACACTTTGCGTTTATAGGTGCAGAGTTGCATTGCATTTCATAATTGAGTTTACAACTTTGGGTGCCTACATTCAATACTGGAGTTGTACTCCGTAGATCACATTAAAGGCATCATCTTGAAGCTCTGATACCCATCAAAGAATTGAGTTGCATGTTGATGAATCACTTTAGTTACATTACCATTAAAAATCTAGTGGGTACCCATAGTAGAGTCTGTTCAAGTATGCTATGTACTGAAACATTGCAGTTTCTCACAAAACAACACTCCATGGCACAGTAAACTCTAAAATAGGGGCTGGCATGTAACAGCAATTTGAGATCAGGTTATTAATCTGAGATTTTAGTATTGCCATTTAGAACTATCAGGTGTTTTTGCCCATCCTTGTATTTAAGATAATTTAGCAAGAATTATTACATACTTTTCTATTTTTACTTACCATATAGTAAAATTTATCATGTGTATAAAATATGTATTTACTTTTAAATAATTAAACTATAGTGAAAATTGATGGTTTAAAATGGTTGATGAATGCTGATCTTTGGACTGAATCAGTTTATTTTTTGTTGACATTTTGATTAGGTGAGATTTCTGTTAACCTCAATTTTACTGTATAATTTATTTTCCATACCTGTAATCTTCAAGTTATGATAAGTTATGATGATTTTGTTTCTGTTTTAGCGTCCATCCTTCGCTAACTGTGATGACAATGACTTGGGTGTGTTTTTCGAAGAATGTCAGTCTGCTCCTCCTTTATCATCCTTTACACATCAGCCGTCCTTAGAAGAACAAGTAGCAGAAGTTAGTGATCAGTTAGAACAATTTGAAATTTGCATGACTGACTATGACAGCTTTGTTGACTCTCTGTCACCTTAATTTTAGACAATCAGATCTGTTACTTTTTCATTGTTGATCTCACTTTCTTGTATATAATTTAAAATTAAAAACTGTTAGAAAACCATTTAAATGTAGTTTTTGATAGTATTTGTGTTAATTAAACTAAGCTGTACTTCTGGGTGAGATTTTGATACTCTACAATATCAAATATTTTCAATGGTAAATCAGAATATTTTCCCAATGAAGTCATTTTAATACTCATAATAAAAAGTGTTACATGTTTAAGTTTTGGATTTCAGCATCAATTATAAACTAAGGTCATTTATGAAAATGAACTGTATCAGTCATACTGTAGCTGTCAACTATGTAATTCTAAAGTGTGAAATAGCTTAGCAGTATTAGGTAAAACATCAGAATCATTGCAAACATATGAAAATATAAATATAATTTGTAATTGGGAATTGATATTTCAATAGTCGTATTTGAGCAAAAGTGTGACAATATTTTATCAAGCTGTTACTTTTTTGAAACAAAATGACTACTCCAATTATCAATAATTCAAAGATAGTTTACTTCTTATGTTTATAGAAGATAATAATTATAGTTTTTCTCATCATCAATATTTATATGAGTATTTTTTTAACAAGTCTGATTCTTTATTTGTTTTTAAATGTAGTTATCTACAAAAATACTTGAGAAATTCAGGTAGGTAGAATGCAAGTAAATGTTAAAACAACTTTGAGCCTACATGCAAACCATTCCCAGAAATCCTGTTTGTATTAGCAATAAATTATGATTCATAGTTATCTGTGGCAAATAATTTGTATGAGATTTAAATAAGTATAAGAGTTGTTATGCTTTCATAAATTTATTCTTCATGTTTTTTATATTTGGGGTATTCTTATAAAATTTGTTTCATACTATTCGTTTAGGTGGCCTGTTTTTATGAGAAAGCTCTTGAGGATTATCTCCCAATACCATATTCATCCCACAAGCCTCCCCCCAAAGAAAGAGACACTGTTTCAAGAACCCTGTGGACATCGTCTTGGTTGTTAACATATTAATTTGTTAACTTTTTATGATTTATATTTCTGTCTGAGAGTCAGTTATGAAAGAGTAAAAATAAATTTCTTGGATGATAGATGTATTGAACAGACTTAGCAATACAGGGTGCCATACTGTACCGAATGCACACTTTAAGTCGATACAGAATACTGCCGTATGGTCATTTTCTTTGTTGTGTTGTATTCTTTTTAAAACAGCATCTATAGCATGAGATTTTGATTTTAATGGACGAAATCCATTAAAAGCCATGATGAAATCCTTATCTTTGGTTTTCGTAATTAATACTATTTGTTTCAACATGATGGCGAAGGTGACCTACTGTTGCAATCTCTATAAAGAGACTGATAAAGGTCTAAATGAACTGGAATCATCTATGCAGTGTTTTCAAAAGCAGGTACATGTAGAAACTCAGCACCTCACTAGTACCGTAGGTGATTTGAGGTATTGCTGAACCTAGCTACTACCTCGGATGGATTTCCAAGGAAGAGTGGCCAAAGTACCTCCTTTTCTTTTTATCACACCTGCTAGTTGTACTCAGTAAGTTGGATTAGGAGATTCACAAGTCTTGCATAGCAAATCTTCGTTAGATTTTGAGTAACAAATATATCATTTCAACTTGATTTATCCAAGACTTGGTCTAAAGTGCATAATTGGTGCAAGTCTTATAAGATGGCCAGGTGAGAGTTTGAAATGAATCACATGCTTGTTGTCCGAAAATCTTAACCAAAGAAGACAGCACTAATTTGGGCATATCGGAAAATCGCCATCGAGGAATTTGTTGCGAAACTTAAATTGTAGTGGTAAAGATTGTTTTAAATTTAGTAAGATGAATGCTAGGTGGCTTCTCCTTCGTTTGATTCCTAAACATAAAGAAAGAATATGAGTAATAAGCAACACAAGTGGAGAGAAGATGTGTGAGCAGGATGTTTTACCTCACTCCTCCATATAGTCCAGATTTAGTGCCATCAAACTTTTCTCTCTTCTTTTGACTTTAATAATTTTTAAGAGGGAGGAATTTTAAATGTAATGAGCTGTGTAAGAATGGATCAACATGGAATTAAAAGACTTTTATTTTTTTAATTAAGAAAGTCCCAGAATGTTAGAAAAGTGGGTTGCAATGAAAGGTAACAGCATCAGAAAAGTGTGTGTAAGTCGTTTCACTGTATTTAATTAATAAAGTTTAGCTTAGCCTGTTTATATTTGAATGTCTCTCGTATATCTGGTAAGCTGATCTTTATTTATCAACAGGAATTTGATTTTGTTTATTTAGTAACAGCAAATTATCCATACTAAAACAACATTCAGTACATCTGAGTAGCTCAAATATTCCAGAAGATATTGTGAATAACTGTATGTATCTGATTGTAATGCTCCGTATTTTTGTGTATTCCAAGATATATTACCTGCTTATAGGTAAAAAATATAACTCTAATGCTGTAGCATACAAGAAATATACAAACTTAAGAAGTGTAGATGATATCACCTTTATTTGCTTTCATTTCTGTCTGCAGTGAAGGGCTAAAGATGTGAGACGCTAGCAGCTTTCCCATGGTTCGATTCTTGGCTGTTCAATAGACGGACTGTATAGAATTTTCCACATGTATAATATAAATATGAGTAATTCGCTTTTACGGAGTCCACAATGAAGGCATTTATTTCTTTATCCGTTGAGTGCTTTAACATAATTTATTAATCAACTCCACTTTTGTAAAATCATATGATGCCATACCTGCTAATGTTATGCATATCATTCCTCCTATCTCTTAGGGTATGTATATCCTTATAGATCATTATATTTTTTTACATCCCTTACAGTTTATGAACACTGTATATACTATTGTAATACTTTTTTTAGCGCATTAACTACACCAACCCTTGTTCTTTTCATATACCACTATAATAAAAAAGTTCTGGAAATGATTTATTTACAGTATATGCAATCACTTGCTACGTTTTTTCTGAAGTTGTTAGGACCTTCATCAATATCTGGCAAAAAGACAAGGAAGACCCAGCATTGACAGAAAAGGCCCCTAACTAAGGTTTGAGTCATACTGGGATGGTAACTTGAAGGAAAGTATCTGTCCCTGCTATATGGAGAGCTGTTTAGTTTTTACTTGCTGTGGCATCGATACATAATAGTATTCAAATATTTATATAACTTAGAAAATATAATACTGCATACTTATAACTTAGAAAATATAATACTGCATACTTAATATTGAATACAATTTCCACAAACAATCTAAAATATATATTATTTAAGTTACAGCATATAACATATTAGAGAGTGAACAAGTTGCAATTTATTTTTACTATGTTTTTAGTTTGTATGGTTTATAAAGGTAGCAATGCAGTTTAATAATGTAAGTAATCATTAGGCTTATAACTCAGTACTTTATCTGACAACAGTGCATATTTCATTTCCTTTTATTGTTTGTGAATGAATTCATTTTTTATGAATAAAGAATTTTTGCTTTGGAGATTTCCCAAAGTGGCAATAAAATTTAGCGAAGAATGAACAATAAATTTCATTTTTGTAATAAAAACTGCTATAGAATTATTTGAAATGTCGTAAGATGTCTAATGATTTTTTGAAACATTTTATCAAAAGCAAGCGTGTTTGAGTTTAACTGTTTCGCATCGAAGTTGTCCCAAACGCTAGACATCGGCTGAACGCTTGAATAATTTCCTACCCAGTGCTTTTCCCCATTACATTACTGCATTACTCATTGCTTTCAGGTGTTGTTAAATCACATGTCAATCATTCTTTTGAAGCTACTTAAAGTAGCTTCCTTGTTTCCTTGTTCCTTCTTCCTTTGTTACTGTCAGTGTTGATGCCCGCAGTTGCAGTCCGTCCCAAGGGGGAACTCACACGTTCAAAGCGTGAAGACGAAGAAAGAATTTTCGCTTTACTTAAGTAAGGCTATGTAGCGCTGTAGTATTCACTGTCATGGGGGAAGGAAAAGCATTCCAGGAGAAATTCTTAGATACGGGCGTTTTCGATGTTTGGGGAATTGAGATTTTGCCCTCTCTCAATGCGAAAGAGTTAAAAGAAGGCAGAAAAAGTGCATCGAAGAAGAACCATGTTCTGGTGTTCCATCACTTCAATTATTAATAAATAGCACATCTATCAAGTCAAAAATTTGGTGCTTAGCAATCATTACTTATCAGTTAGAGATATGATTGAATGAGTTACATTATTTGGATCTTATCAAGCAGTTACGCTTTATCATTTGGCTCTGCTTTGTGTCATTTCTCAAATTATTCCAAAAGCAACATATTTAAGTGGTCCAAGAAATGCTTTTTCCAAGCGAGTCCTTAAAATGCATAATTACTATTATTAAATGGTGATGAACCATGGATTAGATTTGGTGAGATCATAAGATATTTTTGATACAGAAATAACAGGAAAAAGAATTGTTTTCTAAAGATGAAGAAAGACCAAAAAGATCACACAGAAAAGAAGGTAATGTTCACTGTTTTCTTTGCTTGTCACGGTGTTCCTTATCGTAAATATCTAATATGTCATCGACTTATTTCTTTTTCATATTTCTGCAGTTAAAATTGCCTCTTAATGGACATCAGTTTGAGTCAATTGATTCAATAAAAAAATTCTTTGCGAGTCCTGAAGGAGTTTCATGAAAAATGACTTTGAAAGATGTTTTGAAAATTCTAGAAAATATTGGTATAGGAGCATGGCAGTCATAGGCAATACTTTGAAAGGAATATGTTAAATATTAATCAATAAATAAAGTTTTATGTTTTATGGAAATATTTCCGATACTTTTCGATCACAGTAGTGGATTTAATTTTGTTGTTTTCATATTAAAATGAATCTTTGTGCAAGCATTGTGTAATTTATATTTTACAGATGCTCTTTTCTGTACGAAGTAAAAGATTAATCTTTAGTTGAGTGTTTCTTATAAAGTATTGATGAAAATTGATTTAGTAAATAAATACATTTATTATTTCATTTAATAAATATTTTCATACAAAAAAATTATAGGTTTCTTATATAGAACAGTAAGCTTCTGTAATCTTTTAATCATTTTGTCTTGAATATCCCTGAAAGAAAAAAAAGTCTAATAAAGTTTTTATGTAAATAGCTTAAAGTATTAATATATTGACATATTATTTATTATAATGTAAGTAATATTTAATATATACCTTATTTATTGGAAATATTGATAATACTAATTAATGATTCTGAAATCTGATTCTCAGCTTTTTCAATACATCGCACAAATATTTTCACATAAGCTTCCATAATTCCATATCTGTAAACATACAACCTTAAAAGAAATGTAATCCATGTTGCTTTAGATAAATATTCAAAGGTATAAAAACAAAGATTAAATTAATTCACTTACTGTAACCATATTCAAGCAGTTGAGAAAAAAACTGAATTTTTACCTTACCTTTTATGATGGAAATTCTGTTCTGCTACCTTTCCAAGTAATTCAGAGCAGATTTCTGTTGTATGTAAAACTAAAAAACTGTAGTATTATTTATTACAACAAAGAATATGCATATTTGTAATATTAATTTATATAAGAACTAAAAGTTATTCAGTGTCTTGATATGCTGTAATTTGTTTTGTATAAATAATCTATGATTATGCGGATTAAATTGTGTGTACTTATAGATAGCATACTTTTATTCAGCCATATTCTTTAATCTTTCATAAAATTCCTTCAATAATCATTCAATATTCAGTTGTAAACTTCATTCACTCGCAATCTCCATTCAATCCTAAAGAGAAAAAATTTGTTATTTCACTCACCTGAAAATCGCACATCGCTTCAAATAAAGCATATATTTCACAAAACGCATTCAAATTTATGAAAACTTAAATTCTTTGCATCCGCTCATTCAAAGTTTCACATTCAGTGTCTTCATTTTTCTATAAATATGCTCGCACAATAATTAACGTTCCCTTCATTCTGTTTGCATATATTCTATTCAGGCAACTCGAGAGCAGTAATCTATTCAGACAGATACATTTACACACATTCTGCTCAGGCAAACAGGAAAATAAATGAAGAAAATACAAATGAAAACAGCAGATGAGTCAAACACTTTAAAACTACATATCATTGATGCATGATGGCAGAGAGAAATTTTACCATGCTTTCAGTTTTTTTAAGCACACACCTTTCTTTCTTACCTATGTATTCACAGAGGACATGCAGCTGCGAATTGCAGTTCATCGTATACATGCCAAGAGAGAAGTCTTTTTTAAATCCAAGTACACCACATTCCTGTTCTTTCAGATCGTCTTTATCCCATCGTTCTGTTTCTTCTTCGCTGTAAAATATGATACTTTGCTATGTAACTTATTATGCATTTATATATTGTATGAAATAGAACACAATGCCCTAATATTAAGAGAGAGCTATTTAGAAATCAGAAAGAAGTATGCTATTCTGAAATTTAAAATTAGGAAAAATTCAAGGTCTCGAAATGCGTAGAGTTTTTGTAGAATTTTTCAAGTACTTTTATTTTTTTTTTCATGTGTTGACAAGAATTATGCATAGGATATCTCTTATGAAATTCTATCCATCCTTTACAGCCATACATATGTCTATGTTAAAAAATTCGCAGAAACGTCATGTCACCTGATAGAAACATGAAGTAAATTGAATTTGCTTGTGAAATGGAATTAGTACTCTCTATCAAAGAAATGTATAAAATAACATCATTCACGATAATTTTGTTTGTGTTGTGATGCAAATGAAATTAAAGCATCTGTCAAATATTCTACATAATGTCTCTTTCGATCTTAGGGCATTTGAACAGAGAAATTTAGGTTTCTTTGATGAGGAACAAATTGTTATCATGCTACAGGCTTTTTTGGGGAAAAAATTCTTTGCTTACAAAGAAAAAGGACTTCTGTATAATTACCCTCAAAGTCGACCGAATTTTATTCAAAATCTACGCCAATCTAAGGCTGCCCTTTCTAAAAATCTTCTGGCCCATGTTTAATTTTAAATCAGCTTGTTTCTGTTCAAAACAGTAAAAATCTTTCGTTTCAGAAAATGAAGGACCTATGCCTGACTGCCCTCAAAATCGACATCAAAACCTATCGGCACTAAAACAAAATCAATATCTACCTGTAAAATTAGGCCCCAAAATTAAAGATTACTTTTTGGCTTAATTGAAAATTTTACACTGGCTTATTTTTCTACTAGTAATATTTCCCATATTTATTCTAGATTTAAATTTAATTTTTTGAAATTTATCTAATTAATTTACTGATATTTTCTGAATACATAGTAGTGATATGATGAAATTGTCTTACCTCGAGAGTACTGCTTGCTGAGTGTGAAAGCGCATAAATGGTTGTTAATTGCTGAAAAATATTTGTTTTTGAAAAGAAGCATTAATGGCTGTGAAAGCATTTCTCACAAAGAATTTTTCCCTTAATTTCCAAGTAATTTAAAAATTTTAAATTATTTCAGTAAAATATTACGCAGTAGGAAATTTTTCAAAAACATACCCGTTAGCATACATCCATTTTCCATTTGTTTTCTTGACATTAGCGAATATTCCTCCCTCAAAGCCAAAATTAAGAAGAGCTGCGGCTACGCTGTCTTTATCGTTAGAATCTTTGTAGGGAAATAAGAAACCTTCAAAACAACGAATTTTGGCCGACTCGTACTGTTCGTTGGCTTCAACAGGACTCAGACATTTTGAATGGTAGAATACGTAATGGACGTTTCCGTGATAACAAGCTGCAAATGAACTTAGTTTTAAAAGCTTGGTTTTTCTTTGTCATGCATACACATATATTAAAAATAAATTTAAAGAACTGTAAAACTTAGCATAAATTTTAAGTTAATTTTGCTAAGTAGATGTTACATTTAATTTTGCTAAGTAGATGACTTTTGACACTATAGCTATTAAAGATGTTAAGATGCATGAAACTGCTCTCCTTTCATTGGAATTTTATGGCAGTTATCGATTTCTCGATTAATATACTTTGTATTTTCAGAACACTATATTACATGTTGCACTGCAATACTTATTAACAGAAAGCACTAACATTTAATTTATCATTTATATATAGACAAAAAGTAAGAAATTTAGAACCTATTTTACACAAAGACCCCCCAAAAGTGAAATCCATTACCAATAAATTTCAAAATTGCTATAAATATACAAAATAAGAATTAAAGAAATGTGAAATTTAAGCTTAAAAATTATGAAAACCTGAAAATGTATACCAGAACCAGAAAAATAATAATAAAGAAGAGGAATTCAGTTAAATCTAATGTAACGTTATCAAGAACAGAATACATCAGACTCAATTACAATTCCTCTTCCACTTGAAAACCCTTGCGTTCATAAATTCAAAATTAGCTAATAAACTATTCTAAAGTTTTTTTAATTAATAACAGCTCATAAAAAAATTCTGAAGTCGTCCCCAACGTAAGAAAAATTCAATGCCAAATCAAGTAAAAGAATAAAATTAACATTTTTTCACTGAATTTAAATTTGAGCATTTCACTCAATTCAAATTTGAATTAATTTCTAGTAGATTTCATTTTCTACATTTTAATTTCAATTTCTCAGTTTCAATCTTACATAGTGTAAAAATTGCTCAACTATTTACTTTATTTAAATATGGAATTTTGTTCAACTTGCTGTGGTTACTATTTTTAATTGCTGGATTGCTACTTGGTCCTCTAAGTAAGTTTTAAATTCATATTCTCGGTTTATTTTTGTTTTTTTATTTCAATTTTAAAATTAGTGAAAAAGTCTAATTTTATTCTTTTACTTAATTTGACATTAAATTTTCTTTGCATTGGAAAGGACTTCAAAATTTTCGGATGAACTGTTATTAAATAAAAAAAACTTCAGAATAGTTCATCAGTTAATTTTAAATACAGAAATGCAAGGGTTTTCAAGTGGAAGGGGGGATTGTAATTGAGTCTGATGTATCCTCCTCTTGATAATGTTACATCAATTTAATTTAGAACTCCTCTTCTTCATTATTATATTTTTTCTAGCTTTGGTATATATTTTAATTTTTTTATAATTTTCACGTTTTAATTTCACATTTCTTTAATTTTTATTTTGTATATTTATAGGATATTTGGTGTTTTTATTGGTGTTGGATTTCACTTTTTTTGGTTTTTTGTGTAAAATGGGTTCTAAATTTCTTACTTTTTTTCCCATACTGATAAATTTTCAGCAGCATATTGCAAGAAAATACTTCAATAATTAAGATTTTAAATAAGAATATTTTATAATATACTCTGTTTCTCTCGATATATATTATATATATAAATACACACTGCTTCTAAAGAATAAAGTAAAGTTAAATTTAATTTTAAATAATTCTCTTGCGCTATTGCTGCAAGATGAAATTTTAATTTAACAAACATTCTCTATTCATAAAAGGCAGATTTAAAGTAAACAAATAAATGATTAATTATTGTTGCTACAATATCATTTAAATTCTGAGAGCACATGTAAATCAAGTGCAAGAATCAAAATCCATGAATAAATAAAATTAAAATTCCAAAAATTATTTAATCCTGAAAAATTTATAAAAATACATAAGTGAATGATTGTTGTTAATTTTAATAAATTTTGGTAAAATTTTGTTAAATAAATAAAATCATTTTAGTATAATTTATGTATTATTTTTTTATAGATAATGTCTAGTTTCTTTTTGATTTATATGCATAATTCGTGTCGGGGAAGTTCTGTAGGCAAGACTTCTAATGACTTTGGTTGTCTAAAAATTTGTTTTTCTACTGTTATTTATTAATTTTTTAAATTTAATTCTAGTCTTTTAATTGCTAATTTCTCAAAATTCAATTTGTTTAAATTTCTTTTTAGTAATTCACCATATTTGGTGTTACTTTTGGTTTTGACTTTTACCCTTGTCTACATGGATGATGAAACACAAATTGAATGATTGAAGAGTTAGGTTTGGAGGCAACTTTCCCTTGATAAGTCTGTCTCCTGCCTGCTCAACAATAATTCACTTATGCATTTTTATAAATTTTTTAGGATTAAATAATTTTTGGAATTTTAATTTTATTTATTCATGGATTTTGATACTTGCACTTGATTTAGACATGCTGCCAGAATTTAAGTGATATTGTAGATTAGTTCACAACAATAATTAATCATTTAATTGTTAACTTTAAATTTCCTTTTTTACGAATAGCAAATGTTTGTTAAATATATGTATATATAAACCTAATTAAATTATTATGCTATTATGCAAGTTAAAATAAGAACAGATATGTTTTAAAATTTTGCAATAAAATAAGGTGTGATATATAAGCAGTTAGCAATCAGACTAATAATAACAGCTAAATGCACTTAATTCATGCAAAAGAAATTATATATTGTGTGAATGATTAATTTTATTAATAACAATTAAAGCTGTTCAACTTCAACCTTTCTTAATAGAATTAGTCCTTGACTCAATATGTAATTCCTATCTATGTGTATACTATTTATAGCTATAATAAAACAGAGCTGCTCATCACAACTATTCTCATATGTTTTAGTTAGTTAATACTTTCAACTAATAGTTTCAAGGCATCAAAGGCATTAAATAGAACAGTTAACAGTCATTAAAATTATTCAGATTTATTTTGTTATTCTGTCCTTAAAGAAAGATTTTTAAATGGGGTAATTCGGTGTTGTTAGGGAAAGTAAATTTCAGATTTGGCAAAAGGGTCAGATATTGATAATAAAATGCAAAAGGTTTGAGTTAGAAAAATATTGCTACGTTCTGTAACAAACAACACATGTGTATTAGTGTCTACCGCGGAGGCCAATGAAAGTTATTAAGAAAAACAAAAACTGTTTAAGTACTCCCTTTAGCGGATTTCCGTTGACTTATTTTGTAAGCGTAAAAAAAGGACTTCTATCCAAGAAATGCCGAGAGAGTAAGTCACATCCGCATGTTGGGAAAGCTGTTGTCTTTCCTCTTCTGTAATAATGCTGTAATTTTACTTTTTAATTAATCAAAAAGGCCTATGTTAAATTTTTAAATAATAAAAAAAAGGTCTTAGTTTTTCTGTCCCAGAAGTTCGGGGACGTTACAGATTAAATTTATTGGTGGCAGCACTGTGGTATGAAATCCACTAGTTTTGCAATCAAACAAGAACTCTTGGGTTTCACTCGGAAATGAAAATTTTTAGTTGAACGAGTTAAACTAAAAGATTATAAATCCCTAGTATCTTATGCTAAAACTGTTGTTATACCGAAGTTTAGTAATGAGCATTTGTATATATGTAAATATCCATAGGACATAACAAAATATGATAGCTGCTTTAAAAAAATAATTGGCGATCTTCAAAATTAACATACTAAATTTGGTGCTCTTCCCCTAAATTCATCTGTTCTCCCAAATTCAAAATTTTTTTATGTTATGTAACGCTACTAACTAACCGATCATAGATTAGCTGTACTTGTACGTCAAACTTTGTATAAATACCCCTGGCAGATATTTACATCAGTTTTTTTCTGCTATCTCCTACCTTGCTAATAGCTCCTTGCTTTGCTCCCCATCTAAACTGCCTGCTTCTTAATTTCTGAAGAATCAATGTACATGGTAATTTATCGTATTTCATATGATTGAATCATAGAAATGTTTCTGATTTCATTATGATTGAATAACATCTATAGAGATGATTTGATATGCGTTAAAATAAAGACTGGAAATTCATCAATTCATGTTTTTTTATCTTCATCTGTCATCTTCACTCTCAGCCACGACGACTGCAAGCTGTTTCCTCTTCTATGCTTTCTGGAATTATTACATATAATTAAAATAAGTATATGTATCCTCAATAAGAATTGAGGATACCAGAGTCGGGACAAAGGTGAGGCACTTGCCTCAGGTGAATAACTAGAAAGGGCACCAAATTAGCTGTATGAATTCGAAAATTAATTTAATTTTTTAAATTTGCCAGTTATTATTAGAGGAAATAAGCTTCGGCAAATTTAAATTAATAAAACAGGAAGGACTGCAAGAAAAATCTGGAAATTAATGAGATGTACATTTCGATATTATTTTTTAATTTATAAAAAAAAAATTTTTTTTTAACATTGTCATTTGAAAGTTATAAATAATTGGCTATATTACTTTTCTGAATTTATAAAGCTACGATTAAAAAATACTTTAAGAATTATTATATTTTGATTTAATACAAATATAGTTATTCTGATATATGTATATATGTATAGAGGCGTGCATTTACCTTTTTGCCTCAGGTGAAAAAATATCTTGGCACGGGCTCTGGAGGATACACATGCTTATTTTAGTATACACATACTTGTTTAAGAACTGAGGATACACTTTTAAATCAATAAGAAAAAAATTATTTTTATTTAATTAATTGTAAAATTGAGTATTATATTTCACTTTCATTTCATTGCATATAAGTTTAACTAAATATGAAAAATTATATTTTTACTGAATATGGAAGTATATGAAAGCTCATAATTCGATATATACTACAGTCAAAAGTTGTTAATTCGGACACACATAATCCGGACCTCAAAGCTACAAACTTTCTGTGCATGCGTCGCGTTGACGCATGTGCGTAAGACCTTTACGGCTGCGAATATGAGTGTGCGCGTGCGCAAAATACGTTCACGAATACGCGTTTAATGTATAACGGACGGTATAAGCTAAGCTAAAATTATCTAATTCAGTTAATGTTGCAGATTGCGTTGTTCCTTAATCTTCGAATTGGAT